ACAACCATTGGCTATGGCTTCCAAAGGGGCAGGACCTTCGTATGGGAACCCAAAGCCTATGAAGAGCTGTAGGAAGCAAAAAAAAAAAAAAAAGAAACCCTGGGTGAATATGAACCAAGAATATTGCTGCCCAGACCTTGGCAACCCTACACTTCACCTGACTCACCAGTTCAAGTTCAGTGAGCTCCATGTTTGGTGTTCAGCTCTGCTCGCCTGGAGCCTGATACAACCAAGCTCTTGATGAGTCTCTTATTTTAATTCATAAATAGCTTAAATGTGTTAAAAGGGTCTCTCAAACATTAGGTCTTTGTGAAAGCCAGATTGCACACAGTCTATTTCAACCCTGGGCCATTAATGTCAATGGAAATTACATCTGGTTGTATTTATCCCACTGATTCCACAAGGAAAGATTTGCTATAATTCTAAAGAGCTTCCTGACTAAAAGAGTCATGGATCCAGGTGGGGAAGGCCCTTAAATTCATGAGCTGCCATCCAGTGCCCTGGCTTTATTTCCTGATCACAGGGTACAAGGATCTGGCCAGTGCATGCTAACCAATCACATAATGAAAGCATAGTAGGAAGTCATTACATAGGAAAAGCCACCAGCTAGAACCTGGGGGGGCGGGGAGTAGCATATCAGTGGATGGACAGTGTGAGAGTGTGAGTGGTGGATGGGGAAATACATACTCTGCTTGACACTAACCAATAGAGAGGCAGTAGTAGCAAAGGCATGGCATTTTGGGACCATCAGGCTGCTATAACATCACAGAGATCCAACTCCAGAGCACAGATGAGTAAGTATTAGCAAAACTGTCCTGTGATTATTCAATGAAACCTTAAAGGGAATGTCAATGTGCTGACACACCTGTGACCTTCTCACTTTGCTCAAGCTCTACTAGTCCAAGAGTTTGCAAAAAGGATTTTAAAGTTGAAATAGCTCCCAAAAGCATATTCCACATTTTTCGCAATTTGTACCAGCTTTGATTAGCCACATAAGTCATGCAGCATTATTTCTGTTTCCCAATGGATGAGTTATATAATTAACTAACAAAGTATAAACTGGGCAATCTAACCATCAGTCATTACCTTGGGGCCATGTTGGCCATTTATGCAAGTCATTTGCCTACATTTTAGCTACATAATGAAAGAAATTAGTTACAGAGATCACAGTGTGAACCTTGTACCTGATTGCACAATTCACATTTCAAATGGCCTGAAAACCAAAAATCATGACTATCACTGCTGGAAAAAATTAGCAGGTAATTTTGAATAATAAAGGGATTGGAGAGTTTTGTGATCTGTCTACAGACAATTTGTGAAAAAGAAAAACTTGTCATATTTAATTCTCAGTTGCAATTATTTTCTCAGCTCAGCTCCTGGATAATTAGTGCTGTTGATGTGGCCTGCAATCCATGGAAGGCTAAAAGATCTTCAGATAATGGATTTCTTCTCTTCTTCTAATTAGATTACATTTCCCAGGGCAACCCTGCTCTACCTCCGTACCACCTAGTTGTTTTATGGGAGAATAACTTTGGACTTTGTCATAATTCCCTGTAAAAGGCCTAGCCCCCCATTGTGTACCTTGGCTTTTCTCAGCAGCTGCTGGAATTCATGCTGTGGCAAAAGGCCATGGTTCTTCACAAAGGCTGGGACCTCAGGAGGACGTTGGGTTTCATAATAAACAGTGCCGTGGATTTCCATATACTTGTTGAGGATGGCCAGGAACTTCTCTTTGCCCTGAAGAAGAAAGCAAAGGAGGTCAGATGAACGTGAGATCCCCAAAAGACATACTTGATTCCATGCTGCCAAGAGAAAGGGAAGGGGCCTAAGTCTGATCTCTGTCCTGGAGCCTTTAAAGTCCTCCTATCTAGCAAGGAAAGACTGTCTTCATTTACAGGGAGGGACTCACCATCATGCAATGGGATTCAGTCTGCACAGCATGGAATCCCCCTCCAAGGAAGGTGGAATTTTAGGGCTCTTGGACTGTCACACTGATTTCACACTAGTACAATCCTGTTGAATGGCATGGATTTCTCTGGACTAAGAGTAGAATCCTTGAATCGAGTTTGAGGTACTTGAGTGTAGGATCTACCCAAATGCACAAAGACCGATAAGAAATGACAAATTAGAACAGAGAAGACCCAGATTCTCAATGTTATTTAGGCACCTAGCAACCACTGATGCCAGCATCTACATACTTTGGAAAATCTGGGCCTAATAATTTGTCTAGGCCAATATCTTGGTCCTGCCATACATCAGTAGTGGATCCAGAGGAAGTCCCAGATCCTCCATAATACAATCAAATGTCATGATCCCATATCACTGTGAAGTGGTGGGAAGAGTTTATATTCCTGACCCCAACCAGTTATCAGTTCATGTCCTAAAGCACCGAGGTGAAGAGCTCTTCTAATTTATATCCCATTTTGTTTTTCTCACTTGTATAAATCTCTAATCCTTTGAAAAAAATCAATGATATTTATTTGCCATAATGAACTACCACAGCAGTGAACTCCACAGGTTAATTGTGTTCAAACATCTCCAGCTCTGTATAACCTATTAATTGTTCTTCCCACTACTGAATACAGAGACAAGGCTTAGCTTTGGATTCTCCCCATCCCAGAAACATGTCATTCTACCTCAGACCTGCATGCCAGAGAAGCTGAGTACATGGGGGCCTGAGGGCCCTGTCCCCTGTCAGGAAGAGGGCTGTCACCTGAAATGTATAAAGCTTCCCACATGTCCATCATTTTAGGGTCCCCCTCCAGCAAAAATAAGTCAGTGCCTATGATGCTAGCTTTGTCCCATATCAAGAAGCCAAAAAGATCAACAGGATAGGAAGTTCTGCACAGACAACAAAATGAGATGCAGAAGACAGTCACACTTTCTTCTGCATGCATGGGTTTGGATCTCACTTCCTCCATAAGATGCTTTTAAAGACAAAGTTGTGTTTGAAAGACTTGGAATCAGGCAGTTCTGGGTATTGTAAAAAGCACGTGATTTCCAGCGTTGTTTAATTAATCAAGCAGCTACATATACATATAGCAGGAAGTGTGTGCACGTACTTGTGGTGTGTGTATATATACATTCACACACACATTCATACATGCATGCGCACACACCCTGGAATCCAGTTCTAGTAAACTCTCATATAAGAATACTCCTCCTATACTGTTTCACGCTCTTTGAATCTTAACGCATAGCCATTTTGTGCTACACTCAGATGATTCAATCTTGTATGACACAATAACAACACTTAATGTATCTGTAGCACTTTACATCTGAAAAGTGCAGTGCAAACACTATTTAATCTTCACAGGAACCTTTGAAGAGGGCAAGTATTATCATCCCCATTATACGGATGGAGAAACCCACATTTGCTGACATTTGATGGCTGAAAACGTTGAGGCACAATTTCATGTTCCTGGAGTTCATTGGCTGCATGGAATAGAATGACAAAGACTTAATAGACCTGAATTTGGGACGTGGGTGAGGTCATAAGGGAGGTATGAAGCACCAACAAAATGAGTATCAATAAAACCTATAAGCAGCACATGAGTCTATGCCAGGGGCGGGCAATTATTTTGGGTGCAGGGCCACTTACTGAGTTTTGGCAAGCCATTGAGGGCCGCATGACAGGCAGCCAGGGGCAGATAAATATACATTTTCTCAATTTTTTAGGGGCCCCGCGAGCCGGAGAGAATGGCTTGGTAGGCTGCATTCGGCCTGCAGGCCGCGTTTTGCCCACCCCTGGTCTATGTACACATCATGCATTCTACATATGTCATATATGGGCAGATAAACTCATTTAGGGTCAAGATCCCATTCCACTGGACTCAATTGTAAATGTTCTAATGTAAAATGCCAGTAGTGCAAGATCAAGCCTTTAGAAATGCTTTACAGAGTTTTAAAACATTATTTGTTAGTTAGTGTAAATCCTTTTGTATACGTGGTTTTGTCAGTACCACAGCTTCTTGAAAAGCTCTGCTTTGGAGGGGTGATTTGAAGACAAACATATTTAAATTCCCTGTGAACATTTTTTAGGTTTTTGAAAACGTAAACTAAAAAATTATTTTTTCCCCCTTCCCCCCACATTTCTCCTTTGCCCTTTTCCATTTTTTCTATTTTACTATCAGGAAATAGGGAGAAAACCTGATTTTTTGGTGTGTGTTTCATGGTTTTGTATTTTTAAAAGCACTCAAAAACTTCAAAGGATTAAAGACAGAGTGACACCTTTTTAGAGGAAAAAGACTCGTCCATCAAAAAGTCCTGTGGATGGCAGATTTTCAATTAGCTTTGTTCAGTACATTGACTTCAGCTGCAGCAGTTCAAGGGGGAGCAAGATCGTATCATTAAAAATATTTAGACATCTCTAAGAGTTGCCTAAAATAGGGTTTCTGTATTCCACATTTTTGTGGTATCTGAATCCAGTAATTTGGGGGCCTATTAAGGATAGGAGCAAGTGCTTTGTATGCCATTGGAAACATGAGAATCTCTTTTTTGCTGGGATACAACTGAAGAAGGTCCTGCCCCACTGAGTTCAATGGCCCAAATCCCAGTAACTGCAACAAGAGCAGGATTTCAACCCTGATTTCTACATCCAAAGGATTCAAAAGATACCAAGTCTTACACGCTGGTTAGAAAATTCATGCTGCCTGTTGAGCCTGTCAAATCAAAGTCCTACAAAACCTAACAGCTCACTGGACTAATACAGTTAATGTATACCAGCTTCTTAGCCAACAACACGCAAGGGAGTACAGCAGTTAGCACTGCATCCAGTTGCCTCTGACAGCTCAACCAAAATGTCCGGGTTCCTATTTACAGCTGGGGGAAGCCTCTGGGATCAATGCAGAGTGGCTCATAATCATGCCTCTGGAACTGCAGTGCAATGTCTTAAATGCTCTATCACTGTGTCCCTCAGTGCATAATAACTTGGAAAAAAAAGGAAGGGGCAGGTAGAAGGAGATGTAAAAAAAAGATGGTCTTCAATGCTGGGAAGAGGTGGAGTGATTGCCTAGTCTCCTCTTCAGGCCTGGATTCAGACCTCATTATTGCCACAAGGCTCCATTAATAGGGTAGCATGGGGCTTTGAAGCTGCTCAGTAGTGGGAGGAGGAGATAAGGTAGCCACCAGCTTGTAGGTGATGAGGTCAAAAGAGCAGGATAAATGCAATGTCATCACTTGTGTGCCTATTTATTCCACTAATACATTTGCTGCACAATTACCACAACTGATCCAAAGGGAAGGAGGAGGAGGAGGAGGAGGAG